AAATTATATAGTCACACAACATAAATTTGAGATCGTCACAAAGTGATAAATGTGATAAAGAGAAATTCCACCATGCTCGCGACAATAGCATGGGACATTCATTTGTTGCACAAAATATAAAAATGTTACACACCAAAATCAATCAAGATTTAATCCAAGTTTACTACTAAAATATTGATTCCTGATATAGAACGTAACGCTCTTTTGGCTGAAATTAACTAATTCCGAAACTCTTAATTTTTATTATTATTCTATTTTAGTTTATAATCTTATTTTATGAATTAGTATTATTTTATTCGTGTTGCGCCTTTCGTAATACGTTTTATTTTTATAACGTCATAATTTATTAAAGAATCGTCTTTCCAATATTTCAATTTTGAAATATTAGAATTACTAATCAATTTAATTGTATATAAGAAGATTGAATTCAATGTACTTGAAAAATAACTTTCTAACAAGTTAATTAGTTTCGACTAAGGAAAACTAAATAAATAAAATAATAAATATTTTATTTTATTTAAAACTTTTATCTTCCTTAACCAAAATTATTCGCTAATCCAAAATCAACTCGTTGATAACCTATTCATTCTGATCCACAAAAATACAAAAATAATTGTTATTACCAATTAAAATACGCTCTCCCAAATTTAATCGGTGTTAGTTATTCTTAGAGATGGTCAGTACTATACGTATAGTGCGTATAGTTCTAGAAAAATATGCCAAATAATAGGTGTTATGTTACACATAAAAATTAATTAATACTCTTCTCACGATAATGTATATTTTCAGTCGCGTTTACTTCGTCGACACCCATTTCGTTGAAAGTTTGTTTCATCGAAAGTTCATTTCGTCGAAAGCTTGTTTCATCAAATGTTCACTTCGTCGAATGTTCATTTCGTCAAAAATTATTTCATCCTTGAGCCAGAGACCGAACGAGTTAGATGTGAGGAGTGTGGGAAGTTAGTTAAGAAATTAGTGAGAAAAGCAGATTGTGTGGGAAGTGTGAGGAGAAGTTTGTTTAATGAAGTTTTTTTTTGCGACGAAATGAATCAGACTCATATATTTTAAACTTGCCTGCAATTTGGCAACATTTTAATATTAACGTTCTATATAGTTCAATATCTAGATGTGAAAAACATTTACGTCTTTGTCCAAATGCCACAATTCAAATTAAAAGAAATTATTTCGGAGAACATTTTAATACTTCAAATACTTAGTGTACAAATAAATTACAACATAATTGAAGATTTTATCAAAGAAGCTGATGAAAATTTTATTGAAAATAAAAACCTAAAAAAGTGTAGGTAAAGATCTTAATATCCAAATTATTTTTTTTATTCAGTTTTGTATTACATTGGAAAATCACCCAATCAAATTTCAACACTACTATACGCACTATACGTAAAGTATCATAAAGTATCGTATAGTGTTCAACTATACGCCATTTTGCCCATCTCTAGTTATTCTAATTAAATGTATTCTGTGTAGTATTATTTTCAAGTTATTTCTAAAGTGATCAAATCATTTAAAATTTCTTCGTTTAATTAAATCTGAAAATTAAAGGTCTGCTATATTTTAGAATGTTGGGATATTTACTTGTTGTTTGAGATATTTTCCATGAGTCCATTATTTTATTGGTTATTACAGTGATTAAGTAACAATATGAAATTGAATATATAGGTGTCCTGCACTATACTTGATCAGTTTTTCCGATTTTATTTGCGTGCAACTTTCGTAAATCATTTTATTGATTTCCCGTGATATGTAAAATTACCATTATTATTTTACAGTATGAATTTAAATCATGGGACGTTAGTCTCCATGGGACAAATCAGTTATTCCATGGGAACAATGAGCTACACGGTGAAAATCATTGATCACCATGAAACAAAAAAAAATTTAATCAATAATAATAATAATAATAAACATTATAATAATACCATTAAATATGCTACAACCGATAACGCGTGCCAGATTCTATTCTTCAGTTGGTACGTGGCTTTTCTATAAATCCTGACCGTCACAGCGAGTCTTCTTCCACAGTGTCACCCAGCAAATAGCAGGCTAGTTTCCTCACTGACACGCTTAACAAAAGGTAGGAAGGATATCTATACTTTTAAGTGCATTCTGCAGGATTGGGGTGGAGACAGTAAGGAGAAGCTTATCCAAGTACTCTCCTTCAATAAGGAAATAAGGAGGTTGAAAATAATATTCCTTGTTGCTTGTGATAATAAACAAACAACTGGTACATTTGTTAATAATATATATAATAATATTATTAAAATATATTCCAATAGATAACGCGTGCCAAGTCTTATGCCTCAGTTGCTACGTGACTCTTTTGTAAATCCTGTCCATTCCAGCAAGTCTTCTTCCACAGTGTCACCCAGGAAATAGCAGTCAGTTACCTCACTGGACACGCTTAATAAAAGGTAGGAAGGATATCTATACTTTTTAAAGTGCATTCTGCAGAATCAAGGTGTATGCAGTAAGGAGAAGCTTATCAAAGTGCTCTCCTTGTTGCGTGTGATAATAAACAAATGATTGATATATTTGTTTTGCGTGAGCATTCATTACATTGTTATCATTAAAATGTTAAATATATATATATATATATATCATACACATATAGGAAACTGCTATTGAACAATCTGGGAACACTAAAAAGTGATTTGATATGCAACATTTTGTTGCTCAAATATTGCAATCATTCACACATTCCTCGTGAAAAAGGCTAATCTGACTTGATCCCCCGATGATATAAGAACGGAATTAAACTTCGGGGAGGGGTAACGATGCTCTGAAGTTTATCGATCACGTTGTGTTAAAGCCTCTCGCTTGTCTGAAGCCTTCAAACTTGTTCAATTGCCTTACCTGTAGAAAAAATTAAAATTCTACAGTTATTGAGGTTTGCAATCGCATGACGCTTGCTTGTTTGTGAAAGGAAAATTTTATTAAATCTGACACCCATAAATCAGGGTTGGCATTGGCTGTAGATCCAAATCCACCATCACAATAATCAACAACAGCACCACCACACAACCTCACTCCAACCCGCCATCTCAATCTCAATAACAAACCCAACCAAATTCGTCACCAATTCAACCTCCATCATCAAGAACACCAAGTCAAAATACATCTTGAACATGTTCAATGCCAACCCTGTTTATAATAAACATCAGATTTATTCATTTGGAAATAATTTTTAAAAAAGCTCTACAACTTGTAATTGTGTGCAATTGGAAAGTGCACACACAAAAGGAAAGGGAACCAAGCAGAGGAAAAGGGGTTTTTTATCTCCAACTCTACCAAATTCCCTGTCTTCTACCCGCCAGGAAAGACATCTTTTTTAAAATCACTGCATGGTCTTGGTATTATCATTACTCGGGTGATGCAATTTTATGTTATACCAAAAATGTATTTTTGATTCAACCAAAAGAAAAAATATTTTATATAACATGTTGAAAAAAAAATAAATTGAATACAGCAATGTATAATAATGGGTTTAGCAAAATCAGCAGGGAAGAAGATCCTGTTGAACTTGACTAATTATAATATATATATAATTTCATTGTCAATCTCACAAAATCAATTCCCAACATGGGGTTGTTATTATTATTATTGTTTAAAACAAAAAGAAAAAAGATCATTTATTAATCATGAAATTTTGATTTCTAATTTTTTTTTTCCTAAAAATACTTGCATTGTATTATTATTATATTTCCTCCTTGAAGGCCACCAAAAATTGAACTTACGACTTTCGAAACAATACAACTTTATTGATAAAGGATCATTAGCCAATTAAATAAATGAATAATGAATTAAAGTTGATCTATCTATTATTATATAACCTACCTCATAAAAAACATCATCATGCCAATATATTTGTAACTTTTAAATAACTCCTCATTACGATTTTTATAGCGATCATTTGTAGGAAATAATATGATACCTAATTTGTTTTAAAAAAGTTAATCCTTACTGATATACACTGTACTTTTCAATATACTAATATTATTATCAATTACCAAATGCTACTCCATGTACGATATTTAATATTAGAACTGTAACTATGCTGTAAAATTGCAGCGAAAAACAGCCAATCTTTCTTTCTGGTTTTGAATCTCGGTATTCTCTCGATCTTGTCATTTCAGCGCCATAATAACCGATGCACTCAAATGAATTTCTTGATAGCAATGAGTTTTCAGTTATATTATTTTCATCAATGTAATCTGTATTATTTATACTTGACCCATCTATTGCCATCATTTCTGACATATTATCCACTATTTTGTGTTGTTGTCAAAGTGGGAAATAATAATCTGTTTGTAGTGGTAGATTACTGGGCAGCATTATATTTGATGCCAGTCGTACAGTTGATGGTAATTTTAGCATCCTAGTCAAATTACTACAATTACACTTATTATTGTAGCAATAGTGATCGCAGTTTAGACGATTTCCTGCTGCTGCGCTAGTTTCTCCCAAACCTTATTAGATACATGGATGGGTCATTAGTATTCTATTTATTATTATGTATATTTTAAATTAAAAGATTTTTACCTTTACTAGAAAAATATATATTGTTAATGTTCATGTTTAGAAATATTGTTTTTTTAACAATCAGAGGATAATTAGCAGAGAGTGTGAGATAGTCGTCTTTTTGTAGGGAAACAGTTCAGCCCAAACCGGTAAGTATCGGAGTTGGTGGAATTGCCGTGTATCTCGGAGTTATAAAATCAATTTTTGTTTTATATTTTATTTATTAACTATCTTAAAGAGAATACAAACCAGGGTACAAAATTTTTTGTGAAGATTTCTGGATTCTTTCTAAAATGCAATAAGAAATATTTACCGGGAAAATAATAAAACTTGATGGCAAGCTAAGCTAAAACTTAAAAATAAAGCAACAATTAACTCCTTTAGTCATATAGTTCACTTACTTCGAATTTCATTTGCCAATAAAATTTCCAGATATCTAATTTCAGACAAAAGCTCAAGCTTTAGCTCATCAAATGATAGAAAAGAAGCAAAAGGCACGATCAATCTATTACATTGGTGGGAAGATAAAAGGATAAATGTCCAATTCTATCCATCTTCATCAGTGCCTAGTGAGATGCTTTTTTCTAATCAATCACATTACTCCAAAAGAAATAAAGTTGTAGGAAAAATTTTTTTTTTTTTAAAAGAAATATGACATTATTAGATAATATTTAACAAGTATGGCCGCTGGTGAAGCCTTAACCTTTAATATTAATAAGTCTGACGATTTATGCCTAGAAAGCTTCGGCGAATCTGTAAGTACATAGGATAATCGTAAATAAATAGATGTTAATATGGCTTTTTACAAAATTCAAAGACTTCTATAAAGTTTTTTTTATTTACTTATTCTCAAACACTTTAAGCAGTTTGTTTAGCAATCTTATTTTTACAATAACATCACCTGTCCATATTTTCAATTGACACTCTTGGACAATACTTTGGGGATAATGATAAGAAGAAAATTAGAAATATTTACCAGTAAACAATGAAAAAAATTTTTAATGATCACAGAAAATCAATATCCTCCATTATTATTATTATGCTTCAATTCTCCTTGGCATGTTTTCGAATGATTTATTAAACCATTCTTTTTGAAATACAATCTCTAAATCCGTTGGATGTTTAGGAAACCTGCTTCTTTTTCAATTGGTCTTTCAAGTTTATCTCAAAGATTCCCAATTGGATTAAGGTCTAACGATTGTGAAAACTTAAAACATTTGCTCGTTGCAATTCAGTCAGCTCTTTGTTTTTGTCTCTTTAAAAATCCTGATCTATAACATTTTATTTATTTTTAATTACTTATTTTTAAAATTATGAGAATTTTACAAGCTGATTCTTGAAAACTAAATTATTTTATTGAGATAATTTTTATGTATTATTAGCATACAAAACTTGAGAAGATTTGTGTAGTATTTTACATTATGCTTCAATTCTCCTTGGCATGTTTTCGAATGATTTATTAAACCATTCTTTTTGAAATACAATCTCTAAATCCGTTGGATGTTTAGGAAACCTGCTTCTTTTTCAATTGGTCTTTCAAGTTTATCTCAAAGATTCCCAATTGGATTAAGGTCCAACGATTATGAAAACTTAAAACATTTGCTCGTTGCAATTCAGTCAGCTCTTTGTTTTTGTCTCTTTAAAAATCCCGATCTATAACATTTTATTTATTTTTAATTACTTATTTTTAAAATTATGAGAATTTTACAAGCTGATTCTTGAAAACTAAATTATTTTATTGAGATAATTTTTTTATGTATTATTAGCATACAAAACTTGAGAAGATTTGTGTAGTATTTTACATGTATATTTGTTAGAATCTAAGCTACATGATTATATTTTTTTATTATGCAAAACAAAGTTCGTATACCTCTAATTGTTGTTATAATAATAATAAAAATCCTGGGGATAATGATTTAACCTTTTTACAGATAATCTCATTGTCGATCTCATAAAATGGATTCCCAACATGGGTTTGTCATTAATCATACTCTTGAAAGCATGTTTATCCATTCCCCATAGGACACATGGAGTTATTGTCACCAAATTTGTTCGTCGCAGATTATCAGTGAAAAATCCCATTTCGCCTACCACAGTAAATGGTAATATTCTCTCAATTTGTTCTGGTTTATTATTCTCTGCTGAAATCTGTGTGACAATCAATTGTCCTTCCTCCACCACATACATAAAATTTGGGTTAGATCCTTCCGACCACAGTGTTGAATCCTTTTGTAATATTTCCTTTTTAAAATATGGAACCAACAAGTTAAAGAATTCCTCATTCTCATTGGTAGTTTCATTAAATGCTTTCATTAAAACATTTACAAGTCTGCTTCTGCTTTTAAGATAAAGCTCATCTAAATCAAATGTAAATTAATTAATATGTATGTATATATGTACTGATTGATTGATTAATTTACTTACTTTTAAATATATACTTTCAAGCATTTTCAACTTGATGATTACAAAAAGTCTCATCCTTAAGTAAAGATGGTATAATCTGATGATGTACTCCAACTTTAATAAATATTAAAAAAAAAATATATTGTTAATGGATTTTTAACATTCAATAAATTTATATAATAAATAAT